AAGTAATTATAGTAGGAGGAAGAGGGAAGAGGTCGGGGCTGTAACACAGGTGTCTGCTGGTCGTTTCCAGTTTTCTACCAGCAGTCAACCTTGGTTTCCTTTGACCATGACAACAATTGCCCCCTAACCTAAAACCAAGCTTTTTTACTGTAACCATGACAACAAAGGTCCCCTAACTTTAACAAAGTAGTAATTTCAACTCATAGCATAGTCATAATGTTTCCTTAAGTTCAACTTCAAGTTTATAGTCATCTACATGAAAAGTGCAGATGTGCATTCAAGTGTAATGAAATTAATTTGCTGTGGCTCTCCCTCAGCCCACAGGCTATAAAGAATAAGAAATAAATAGCAGAACAGCAGGTAATAATCAATATATAAATAATCAGTCACACATAACAACAATGGTAAAATAGCAGCACTATATCCCACAAGCTAAGTGTTCTTAAAAGAAATAAATACTCAACAATCAATAAACCAAGCCAAGTTGTTTTTGTGCCTCAACCTGGGTCGTTAATGTTTAAGCACTGTTGGTAGAGGCATCATATCAGAAATCACTTCTTAACAACATGGACAAATGATGTATTATGGATTATTGTTATTGTTGTTATAGAGGATAAGTTAGTGAGGTACTTGGCGTATGAACTGTTCTGAGCCCCTAAGACTTTATAACAACGTCACACTGTGACTTATACTGTAGTTTTTCTTGTGAGGACAGTCTGTTCTATTACAACATTACTACTGCTACTGCTGCAGCTGCTACTTTGTGATTTTTACCCGAACACTACAGCTTCTGTACTGCCAGTACTTTTAGGAATTTGCAATGCTGTGATCTCAACACAAATCCGACCAGCCTCTGCATTATTTGTTAAGTACTCAAACCTCCTCAACAAGCCAGTTTTCTTCTTTTCCCTCTGTCCTCGTCTTCTCAGAGTTCTGTATCACTTTCACCAAGTTCCACCAGTCAAACCTCAGCAAACACTTTACCTAAACTTAACCAACTCTTCTGGAGCTTATTGGACGCTTTATCGTGCCTGGGTGTAAACGTTCCCTGACAGACTAAATTCAGGTCAAAAACGTTCTCGAATGTTGAACCGACAGACAAACTGCTTACATTTAAAATGCTGGAATTACTGGAACCATTCATAAATTAATCAATGAGTTTTACACACATTTTTATGTTTTCTCCAACTGACTTTACTGAATGTATTTATTACTGTAAAATAACACTAAAAGGGCAGATACTGCATCTCACTTCTTCTCGAAATAACACTGAAAATTGTTTCATGTTGTGGATAAACACAGCAATTTTCACTGCGTCCTGATGGGACTGAACTAATGTTAAAAGAGCTGCTTCTCGACTCCTGGTGATTTGGGTTGAATTGCAAATCCCTGCCTCTGTCTGGTTCCTGCTGCCGATCGCTGCGTTTCATCCCTTGACCTGTAATATTCATTTAAAAGAGATGTAAATGAAGTGTGTGTAATGGTTTAATTTCCCTCTGTGTGTGTGAGTTTCTCTCCCTGGGTTCATTCTTGGTTCAACATCAGACTTGGCCACAATTCCCCAAGAGTCTATAAACACACACACACACACACACACACACACACAAACACGCACATACATGCTCTTTTTCAGAAATGCTCAGGGTCTCAACGGTCCAACTGTGGCCTTGTAGATAGTAGAGTTTTTGGCGGAGAGGAGAGAGGAGAGAGAAGAGGAGAGAGGAGAGAAGAAAGAGGAGAGGAGAGGAGGATGAAATGTACATGGGAGGAGAAAAGAGAACTGATAGAGATAGGTGTAGCGTGAGGGAGGAGAGGATTCATATAGATTTGATAGATTGGAAGCTCGAGGCAGAGAAAACGCCGGAGGGAAGAACAAAATAAATTGGATGGAGTGAGAGAGAGAGAGAGAGAGAGAGAGAGAGAAATGAGAGAGAAAGACAATAGCTGCATGAAATTGGATTGAGAGAGAAACAAAATGAGAGATAACAAGCAAAAGAAAGGAGGCAGAAAAAGAGAGGAGGAGAATGAAAAGATGAAGATAAATTGAGGGAGAAAGGAAAGAAGTACTACTGAAAAAAGGTGGAGGATGAAAGAGATAGTGGGGAAGTAAGAGAGATGAAAAGTGAGAAGCCGGAAAGAGAAAGATAAATAAACAGATAAATGGAGAAATGAACCAACAGAGATACAGAAAGAAGAAATACTGTATTTTTAAGAAAAACAATGACAAAACATTAAATCAAGATCCAGACAATAGCTGCAAAGGAGATGATGAGGGAAAGAGTCTACAGCCGTGCTTGGACACAGAGGTGCTTTGAGCTAAATGCTAACATGCTAATGTTTAGCTGGTCTAATGTACACATGTACACAGGTGTTGTAGCTGTTGGTAATGTCTGTAGTTTTGCAGACATTTCATCATAAACAAATTAAAACTTTGACCTGATGATGGCACTAGACGAAAAACGAACTTGGTGATCACCAAGTTCAGGACAGCCTCCGTGGGGTGTGATGGGGTGTGTGTGTGCGTGTGTGTGCGTGGGCATGCGTGGGCATGCGTGGGCATGCGTGCGTGTGTGTGTGTGTGCGTACGTGTGTGTGAGATCAAAAATCCATCCAATAGTTGTTGAGATTTTTCAATCTGGACCAAAGTGGAGGAAGCTCTGACCAAAGCCTGATTAAAAAGACAGAGTCAGAAGAAGCTAAGACGATCAAAGAAATTAAATATAGAGTGTAAGACACAAACAGAGGCAGACTAATAGAGAGTCACAGAGGTGGAGATGGAGAGAGAGACAGAGAGACATAGGGATTGAATGGAGGCGTGCCGGCAGTGCTTGGCCAGCAAATTATTTGCCGAGCTACAGATTTCCAGGCTGCCTCCTTGCTGCCTGTCTGTCACTGTGTGTGTGTGTGTGTGTGTGTGTGTGTGTGTGTGTGTGTGTGTGTGTGTGTGTGGGTGTGTGTGTGTGGGTGTGTGTGTGTGTGTGTGTGTGTGTGTGTATGTGTGTGTGTGTGTGTGTGTGTCTACATGAGACACATCTCATGTGAGTCCGTGTGTTTTAGGTGTGTGTAGGACTGTTGTTTGTTGCGTTTGTGCGTCCACATGCACATGTGTATCCATGCTTGTCTGTATTTTGCAAAAAATTGAAAATTGTCATATATGCTGACGTGTGTGTATATACGTGTGTGTGCGTCTGTGTGCAGTATGCATACAGTGCTGGGTTATTTTTACCCCTCTATTTAAAATCTGCTTGGGGATGCAGAAGCGCAGGAAGTGAGTGTCGTCTCACTTTTCCTCCAGCGAGCTTCATTTCTCCTCCACAACCCGTCTGTCCTGTCGTACTACTACTACTGTCTGCCATCCTCTTCACCCATGATGCATCAGCCCTTCCTACCATACACTCTCACACTAGACACAATTCAGCCACATTTTTTCAGTCATCCGCAGTTCCCAACCGTTTTAGGCTCCTGACCGCTTTGTCAGAGCCCTGAGAAGGTGAAAAAAATGTTTTTAAAAATATAATTTTATCACTCTTAAAATCACCATCTTATCAAGTCAGTCAGTTAATCGCAGATTTCTTGCAGTGATTTGATGACCACTCACTTTTACATCTAGCTGTTCTTGTTTTTGTCATCTACATGTCTGTCCGTCATGTCCCGTGTGCCCTTCATGCCACACCTGTTTTTGTTACAATGTCAGCAATAAGGGATTTTTTTTTTTAACTCTATTTTCCAAGTCATAATACAAACCAGTTTTCCATAAAGCTTCCTTGTTTTTCTGTCCTCTGACATCTCTGTCTCTGTACTGCAGACCTCACACTGCAGCAGCAGGTGAAAATACAATGTGTCACAGATCTTTGAACAACCCTGCCCCTCCTCTCCTCACATCAATATCTGTCTTCAGGTTTGAAAAAAAAAAAAAAAATACAGCAGCTCTCCACCAAGGGCCAGATGACCCGCTGCAATCCTGCGACCAATCCTGTCACTGATACCAGAAAAACAACAAAACAAAACGCGTCAGAGCTGAGCGTTGACAGGTGAGGGTAAAGATGACTCTCTGGAGAATTTCGTGGTGAGGGTTCACATTTTCTCCTGAAAGATGTCGCTTAGTTTTTGACTCTGTTGTATCCTTGTATTTGTTTGTATTTACTGCCATGTGTGGCAGGACTGAGAAGATTGCTGCTCTAAATTATACTGAACTGACCATCCTTCAGCATCACTGCTACACCGACATCGCTTTAATTATACCCACAACACCTCAGTGTGAGGAACACCTTCCCTCACTGTTTCACTGTTTTTCACTTTTAAATAAATTATTACTTCTTGTATCCAAACTGCATTTAAGGAGTGAAAAAAAACTGAAAAAACATCTGTCAACATCCAACAAAACTATATGTTGTGCTGGAAAATCATCATCAAACATTTTCATATTTGTCATTCACCAAGGGGAAAAACTTTCTGCTTTTTCTATTTTTCTTTAAGGTGCAGCTATAGAGTTTGTAGTTCTTTTAAAGGGTCACTTCATACAAATTACACACAGTTTTCCTGTTGTGGATTGTCCAGGGCTTTTTGTTGGACATTGTTGCAAGACATCATCATTCAATGCTCTTAGGAGTACAGATTGTATTTGGGTGGTGGCAGAACACCAAATAGGTTATGACTGACCGTTTGTCATATTGTTTTGCATTGTAGTTGTTGACACCTGTAAATGATGATCATGTTGTTGTTTTCTGTGGTTTCCTAGGGTTACGGCCAAAGGCTTTTCAGTTTGGTCACCTGTTGCCATCATTTTCAGACATGTGATGTTTGTTAATGTTTTTTGTGCCTGAGGATCGTATTGATCAGAATGTTGCACAGCAGTGATGAATGAAAAAGGACAGGGTGTGGATTCTACTGTTTGGCGTTGCCGTTTGATGTTCTTCCCAAAGAATCTGATACACAGGAACAATAGAGGAAAAAAGTACACACAGCACTAGTATAAATCCATCTCTGTCTCTGGCCCTCAGGTATATCCACGCCCTCTACCTGGGAGCCCAGAGCCGTTGGCACAGCAACGGGCCCCGCCGCCACTTCCACTGGCGGCTGATGTTTGAGAGCGCTGACATCACCATGCTCCGTCTACTGGAGGCCTTCCTTAAATCGGCACCACAGCTCGTCCTCCAGCTGAGCATCATGATCCACGGAAACACCGTCCTCCCTCTGCAAGGTGAGAGACGCTGTGACACGTCAGAGGAAACAGGTTTAAAGTCTGAGTCACAGATCAAAATCTGAAGTCTGTAAACTTTTTTTTAACAGATATCCTTGTGTTTCCAGGTCCAAACATTAAAGTTTGTGAGTACGATGTCAGTGATGAAAATAAGACCCAAATTGTTATAAACTGGAATCATCCTTTAAGGAAAAACTGCGCAATTTCTCTCCTCAGATGTTATTTATTGGATTTTATCAGTCATCATTTCTGATTGTTACAGAGGCTGCTGCAGAGAGAGAGGGAGAAAGGGAGAGAGACAGAGAGAGAGAGGGAGAGAGAGAGTGTATGTTTTGTTTTATTAATCAAAAGCCCATCTGCTTCTTGTAAGAGGTGCATGAATAAAGCATAGACTCTCATACTGATATCTGCCCTCAACACACACACACACACGCACACACACACGCACTCTTCCTTCATTAAACATTACTGCCTCTCTCTCTCTCTCAAATTTAGATACACACACTCACAGTTCACGCACACTGTGTTCTGATGTACCTGGCAGCAGAGAAGTCAAGTATCAGACACATGTATGAATTGCACAAAACACACAGTCAGGGAACAAACACACACAATAAAACCTACAACACACACACGCACACACACACATACATGTGAGCAACAGAAAAGCTCACACACTAAGTGATGTGCATTCTCATATTTGAAAAACACACACACACACACACACACACGCACACACACACACACACACACACAACACACCCTAAACCTTAACCGTAACGTGCATTATTTTTGTCCATTTCTGGGGATCAATTAACTGTTAATGAGCATTCATGTTTTTAATTGTGCACACTCTCCCACATGGCCTGCGTTACATTACTGCTGATCAGGCTCATTGATTAATTCATAACTCAGCCAATCAAAAGAATCATCTATCGGCGCTGCCAATTAATCATTCTAGTCATCTGTTGAGTACAAATCCCAAGCATTTGCTGGCTCCTCTTTCTCCAAATGTTGGGATTTGCTGGGCTTTCCAAGCACAACAAACTGCATCTGTCACTTTCTACCCATAATCCCCTTTGTTTTGGGTTCATTTCTTATGTAACAGCTTTGGTTTATTTTTCTTGAGCTGGAGGCAAGGAGACCTGGTTTGATGTGTTAACTCAGGTGGGTTTAGTCAACAAGAGGCTGGTTGTTCACTGGCTGCGGTCAATTCAGATTCATGTCAGATTACGGTTGTTACCAGTTTTTATGAAAGGAAAAAATGACATTAACAAAAGTAGTAACCCTCTCCTGCAGCATGATCCTCAAGGACATTGTTGGCATGACACAGTAGTGGTAGATTAGGACACATTTTGCCACTATTATGAGTGTTTGGAACATAATGATCAACAGAAAAGTCTATTAAGCTGCATTATTTGTTCTTTTTTTCCAGTTGTGAAACTAATTATGACAAGCTTTATTTATAGGCCATTTTTCTAAACAAAAGTTACAATGTGCTTTAGAACAAAGAGCAAAACTCAAACTGACAAACACCCAAAACAGACCACTCCCAATAGACCATATTCACACGGCAGCCATTTTCCTCTGACGTCACACTCAGGGCGGGAAGCTCAAATTCTGTCACAGGCACAGCCTCTTCTTATTGCTAACTTACCTCTACCCTATAGGGAGGCTCGTTTTTTACCGACAGTGGTGGTATTGTTATCCTCAACATTGACTGAAATCAGAACAAAACTGTTTGTAGTACGTCACTTGCTTCCCGAGTGTGTCATTTAATATTACCTGGCAAAGTGAACCCTATCAGAAATGAGTAGAATAACGCTCAATTAAAACAATGAAAGGTTAAGTTAGCAGTGACGCACTTGCTCCGCTGTCATATTACTGTATCATTGATGCAGGTTGATTATGAAACCATATAACATTAGTTAATATTTAATGTTTGCACAAGCCAGTGGATTGAGATGTCATCTGACAACTGGTTAGCTCTAACATTGACATTTATGTTTATTACAAACTTCAGGTTTGCTAGCCTAACATTAACTTAGAGTGTTTCCAGTGTGGGCCGGTCTTACCTTCAAAATCGTGGATATGAGCTTCAATTCAGTAGCTGTATTTTTTTTTTTTTTAATCCTTTTAGGTCAAAGAAAAATGATGGTAATCAAGTCAAGTTTTTCGACCATCTCACCATTCTCACATAGAATTTATTCAGAGATATTGAAGTGCTCAAGGCTTCCCACCGAAGAGAAGGCAACCTTAAACACAGTGGTTAGAAAAGACTGGATAAAGTGCATAAAAGAAGAGGGAGCCAAATTAACTAAGATCAGATCACTTCATGTTAAAGGTGTGATTTCTCATTCACTGTCAGTCTTTAGCTTTAACACTCTGTCCAAAAATGAACAAACTAATACTGGTCTATTCTGCCTCCATGAAATGGCCCACACTCATTTACTTTCTCCAACCTACTCACCTTTTAAATGTTACCAAACTGTCAGCCATAGACATGGAAGCATGACATCCCTAACTAGTCTCACAAACTCACTGTTTTAAGCAGTGCAGGTAGTGGCTGACTGCAAATGTTTTCCCCTCGGGGCTTACAATACAAACTCGTAGACTCGACTCAGCTGCTGCTGATAGTGGCTCTTGTACACACTCACTGCCCTCCATACTTCCCATACAAGCCAAGCTGCAGCCCGTACACTGAAGACTGCCAAGCAGAATGAGACCTCTGGGGAGCTCTGGGGCTCGGCAGATTTGTTCACGTATCAGAGTCAGATGGTCGACTTAAAGCTTGTTAGTCTGTGGATATTACTTCTGATTCCTGCTGTCTGTGGATGTTGGAGAAGCTCCCTGCTGCAGTTTGGTTGAGTTACACAACTTTTGGTGCCTGTTAGTGTTAATAATCGTTATGCATTTTGACTTAGATACGTCATCCCCTGGGGTTTTTTTTCTGATGTGACATATGTATGAGTTTGTAGAGTTACGTTTATTTATTTTTGGGGGGATAATGAAGTGTTTTACTTCAACTCGATTCTGCCCTGTGAGTGTGCTCTGCACTCGTGTGGCCTGAGAGGTGCAGCACCAAATTCTGGAAATACTCACATGAACTTAACGGCACTATTGAGAATCGCAGTTACATGACTGTTCAGTAGAGTAACTGGCTGCCTGCCCATTCAGTGATTTACATTATTAGCTATAATATCTTTATGTTATGAAGACAGATTTACTCAGTGATAATCATAGATCAAACAAACAGTAACATTTTCAGAAGTGTTGGTGCTATTATTTGATTTTATTCAGTCAAATAGCATCATCGACATGAACAAACATTATTTCAGGATGAAACCCCGCAGAGTTAATTTCTCAAAACTTACATTTTATTTTCAACTTCCATATATAGGCTATATATTACAAAGAACAGAAACGGGCGTTTGCAATTGTCAATACGTTACAACATGCTGCGAATACAAGTGAGGTATAAAGTTAATTGATATTTCAACAGGATGGGACTTCATACGAAATCTTATGGACCTTAAAAAACTAACAATAACTTGGTTATTTTCAAAGAGCCTTACGATCTTAGTTTTGTAAACATCAAAGTCAAATACCAGTAAGTTTTTCTACATGGAGTGAAGACTGAAGTTCTCGCCGATTTCTTCATAGAAATGGGAATGATAAAAATTACATTGAAATGCTAAGTCAGTTCAGCTCTTCCTCTGCTCAAACTTTAATGCTTTCTCAGTGTGATTCACGGCTAATTTGAGACAAGACAGCATGGTTAAGACACATGAATGTTTAATGCGTTAAACTGTGCTCTGGGTGGCTCACACTGGGCCTCACTGTTCCATGTGCAGGCTAACGACCATTTGACTTCCAGCTGGTTCAAGTTAGTTTGAAGGAACTAGAAGAGAAGAGTCTGTCGGTAATGATGTAGTTGACTGATAATCTTATAACTAGTAGTTATTCTCAGCATGTATCTAGTGAACATTTTAAGGGTCTTAGTAATCAATTAGTATCAACTGATTATTTATAAGATAAGAAGATAAGATACTGGTCAATAAATTTGATATAAAATTTGATAACCAGGACACATAATATGTTTGCTGATCCCCACAACTTTTCCTTTATCACCACCATTAGGACAAAATTCCATTTTAAGATATTTCTTCATAAATTGAACAGATTGTCATAAAGTTTCCCGATCACATGCTTCCTCTCAAGAGGATTCATCCTCCTTTATATATATTATAATATTAATAATAACTGGGGTTATAATACCTGATATATCTGGCTTGCCATCGAAACCACTTCAGTTTTAATTCTCATGTTTATATCTGGTTTTATTAGAAGAACCATTGTATTCTATCTCAATTTATTATAATACCTGGTTTTATTATTGTAATCACTAGTCTTATCACCCACGATACTATAATGATAATTAAAAAAGATATCAGATATTTATATATATTTAAATCATTTTTAACATAAAAATATGTGATTAATCTGCATAGAATATAATTATCAATATATGCTTTGTACAGTTGGAAAATAAACTTTCATAGCCTAAACATGTAATGGTGTCACTGTTTTTAACTACTTCAGCTACTACCAATAAACCTTGACTCAAGGTTAAATTACTAGCTTTTTTCAAAGATTTCAGCTATATCTTCATGGAGTTTGGTCAGTTGTCATGGTTCTCAGACCATAAGACCTATAATTGAAAAAAAGTAAGTTGAAAATATCTTAACAGCTGTGTATACAGTTTATCAATACTCAAGCATCTGCAATACAACAACAGGGTAAATTATAATTCTGTCTTACAAATATCACCAATATCACTGCTGTGAGCTGAGAGCTGATCAATCAGCTTTACGTTTGAGATGTTTAGGTACAATGATTGAATCAAAGTTTACCAGTGATTAAGACTGAAATACTGTACATTGGTGTTTGTCTCTTCCTCCCCTTCTTCTTCTTATTCTCTCTCTGCCCCTCTCTTTATCTGCCCCTCCAGGTCTCTCAGCCTCGGCCTCCCTGGTCTCTCTGGCCTGGATGATCGCCTCCTACCAGAAAGTTCTCCGGGACTCCCGCGACGACAAGCTGCCCATGTCCTACAAGGCCGTGATCGCCCAGATGTTGTGGCACTTCTTCACCATCGGGGCGAGGACTGTGGCCTTTGCCCTCTTCGCCTCCGTCTTCCAGCTCTACTTTGGCATTTTCATCGTCAGCCACTGGTGCGCCATATGTGACACGATGCAAAGAGTTTAGGTCCACAGTGAGAAGCTTAGAAAATGATGAATCATGATATGTCTTTTTAATAGTTATCAGATGAAAACTGGAGTAGTAGTAACAACAGCAACAATAGCAACAACAGCAAAATGTTTTACTTATTAAATGTGTAGATGTTTTAAAAGGCACTGCAGCATAAATTGATAGATTTATATGCCTTGTACTGTCCCCTTGCCTTAGTATCCATATGTTATATCCTGCAATATTGTTTATTTTTCAGGTGTGTCATGACTTTCTGGATCATCCAAGGTGAGACCGACTTTTGCATGTCCAAGTGGGAGGAGATCATCTACAACATGGTGGTGGGCATCATCTACATCTTCTGCTGGTTCAATGTCAAGGAGGGTCCCAGCCGCTTCCGCATGACCGTCTACTACTCTGTGACGCTGGCTGAGAATGTGGCACTGACCGCTGCCTGGTACACCTACCGTGGCCCGCACACCTCCGACTCCTACGCCCTGGTCGTGGTGTGCCTGGTGGCCTGCAGCTTTGCCCTGGGAACCTTTTTCATGTTGGTGTATTACTGCTGGCTGCACCCTGATGGGCCAGTTCTGGGCTCACAGTGGGGAGGCTGTGTGGATGAGGGCGTGGTGGGTGCAGGAGGGGTGGCGGGAGTGATTGATGCTTGCCTCACCCCATCACAAGGGTCCCAAACAGACATGGTCATTACCAGCCCTCCGAGAACTCTCCCCAGGACTAAAGACACAGGGGAGCCGGTTCCCGGAGAGAGAGACAGGGACAAGGAGAGAGACAGGGACAGTTGCCTGCCTGTCTTCCAGGTTCGTCCTTCCCCCTCCTCCTCTCCCGCACTCCTCCACAGGACCTCCTCTTCATCCCGTGCGCAGGAGGGCCCTGTGATCCGGATTGACCTCCCAAGAAAGCGATACCCAGCCTGGGATGCTCACTTTATCGATCGGCGCCTCCGCAAGACCATCCTGCTTCTGGAGACGTCATCAGCCGTCAGCCCCCGGATACAGTACAGGAGTAGCATGATGGGCAGCAAAGAGGTATTAGAATATGAAACAACTGTCTAAGCCAATAGGGGCTCTTAAACTTAAAAATGCAGTCTGGGACCAAGGCTCAGCCTGAGATCAGTTCTCATCCCAGGACTGCCTACACCAGGAGAAGCATGGAAAGGAGACACAGTGTCAGTCAACTCCTTTTAAGAAAAGAGGTTGTCAGAACTTGATTGTAAAATGTGAAGCGCAATCTGGGACCAAGGCTCTCCCCTTAGGACGCAGTCTGGGAGTAAGTAGCATGAATGAGCCGTGGGAAGTTAATGGAGTAACTCTGAACTGGGATAATCTTCATCTTTTCTAAAAGCTTGGAGGTGAGAAATTTAATCTCTCATCCGGGGACCAAGGAGTGTTAGATTTAGTTTCATCCTGTACGGTCATTACAACAAAGTAAAAGGATTTGAGAGCAATGAAGTTGCAGAGTCTGAGATAACTGAAAAACATTCTGCTGCAAGAACTTGAGCCGTGGACCCCGGAGACTCAACAGAGACTTACCAGGGAACGTTTAGAGACTGGCTGCTAGAGTTTGCCCGGGACATGCAATCATTTTGGTTTGGCAGCAAAATTAGACACTGGCAGTGAATAGAGACTGACTATCCAACAAATACTGCTTGAATGATTTGCAGGTCAAAAGATGCAACAAGATCTACCTTAAAACTGGGCTGAATTTGGTTGAAAATGGAGGTCCTTTTTTCTTTTACAAATCCAGGTTACATACAGTGTAATAGAGATGTTGTTTCAACAGCAATTAAATGAGTATATTTCAGTGTGAAGCTAAACATAACTACAGGACGAATTAAAACTGTGAATGTGAATGAAAAAATGGTTATTTTAACAGAGATATCTCACTTTTCAACCAGCTATAGCCCAATTTTAACCAGCTACATACCTTTGACCTCCAAATCACAAATTAATTGCTAGCTTGGTGCATCAGGCTTCATACTGTAAGAAAAGCAATGACTTTGAAAAGTATAAACACAGAAAGTGAGAGTGAGAGATACTAATATTTTTCTTTTATCCCATCATTCTTCCAAAAGATTGCATGTCCCTACCAACATTTGCTAACCATCCTCTAAGCACTATCAGTGGTGTCTAAAGAGAAATACAGTCTCATGAGAACACAAAAATCCATCTAATGTAGGCTCACGACTCAGTCTAGGTCCAGATTGTTTCTGAAATGTAGGCCTGAGATACAAGTGACAGTCACCCATCCATATGTGCTACAAAAGCAGCCATAGCAAAAGTCCCACAGTTTACATCCCAGCTACACCGTCACCGACCTGAGAAAGGACTTGTTTGGAAAAAAAAATCAATCAGGACTGGTGGACGACTTCTGCAGTGGCTGCTACCATATGGCATGCTGTAACTCACCACAAACAGGCCTGTGATGTACAGTTGAATAAATACAGATGTCAGATATAAGCTATTATAATAAGCTGTAGTTAGGTGATGAATGACGTTTGGGTGAAGAAGCTTCATTTACTCTTAAGAGTCTAAATTTCGCCCAGAGTTTTTTCGAATACATTACATATAGGGGGGTGAAGGGGGGATGTCGTGAGCAACCTCATTATGCTATGAAAACATTTTCCAGTGTTTGGTTTTTGGGGGGAACAGTAGCTGGAAAGAAATGTTTTTAATCATGTCAACCAACCTTAAAGATTTCTAGAAGGGTTCGTTGGAATGTGAAAACCCTTGAACACATCCAGTAAGTGGTTAATACAAGAAAAAACATGTGCTTAAAAAAACTGAAAGATGCAAAATACCATGACATTTTTGCAGGCTAACTAGTTAGCAATAGCTGCTGTTTTTTGTTATAATGTATACAATGTTGACATGGATTGACCTTTCGCAAAGGTGGTGTTGTTTACAAAATGAAACCATGTACAGGCCTTTGATTCAAAGTAGTTTTTGGTAGATTCAGGTTTGGACTGAGGTCACTAGAGTGATAAAAAAAATACATCTGGCCCAACATATGCCTGGGTCCTCAGCCATATCGGGCGTCTTGCCCATATACTTCCGCATCTGGGTAGAGTCCTGCTGTTATCCTCTGATATTGTCTGATAGTTGGAAGGTTTTCTGTGTGCGCACCAGAATTGGTCCAGATGTGGGAGTAGCATCTTACAATCATGCTGTATATGGGCCAGATAAGGGCCGTGGAACCAGGCGTATACTGGGCCAGAAGAAAATAAGCATGTGGCCCATGTATGGGTTGGATTTATTTTGCTATCTGGACTTCAGCTGAGCCGAATCAGTTACCAACTTTAAACGCAGAACCTCCCAGGTATGAATGAGTGTTAATATCAATCAGAAGCAGCTGGATGCTGAGAAAGTCGAGCAGGGTCAGCAACAATACCTGAAGGAAGAACAGTTTAAAAAGAAAACACTAGCATCAAAGCTAACCTCTGTCCTCTGTCATATAACACAACACATTTCTCTTTGGCAGTCTCTCTTTGAAGTTTTTTTTCAAAGACATTTTTTTGCTTTAAAAGCCTTTAGGGTTAGTCTGTGCATTTAAGGTGAACTGATTTGTTATGAAGTGGGAGGTTGTTAAGTCCAGCCCAGAAACACATAATCCGGTGTTGGTGATTATTAATAGCAATGCACTTGAAAAAAGCATGTTCATCAAAACACGTTTGACGATTTGAAATACTGTGCAGTGACAAAGGCTCCCAGTTAATGATATAATTTAACTGATTTGTACCTTAGTAGCTGTGATGTGAAGATTTTTATGTTACAACCCAACAAGCATTTAGAAGATGCCCATGTTCAGGGGGTCACCAATTAATGGTTGACTGGCACAAGCACAAAAAACAAAATTTTATGGCACAGTAAAACTCGTTAGACTGCTATGAACTTGTGTCAAAAATATGTAGATTATAGATATTCAACAAGCTGCTCAACATTTATGAACCTGTTACCATCTCCACCCTGATTTACAATAAGAAGAAAATCTAAACAGTTCCCTCCTGCTGTCCAGAATGGTTTTAGTTATCAATTTTATGCTGATGATGCATGTGTATAATCTGAGGTGTTGCAGGGACTCCCAATGCTAAAACCTCTAGTATCATGTGGACTTTAGGTCGAAGAGCAGAGCAATCACTAAGAGCAGTTTATATACTTACTTTTCAACGATGCATTTTCATATGAGCAGCATTGTTCACGTACTTATCTATCTCTATCTGGAGGATAGGAGAAGGAGCATAGACGAGGGCCAAATTATCCCTGGCTCTTCCTTGAAAACTGAAAACTTTTTTTTGTATCAGTGAAGATTTTGGCCTGATGTTCGTTAGGAATCATTCTCTCAGGGGGTGTTTGGTGGCCCAACGGTTACGCAACATCCATGGTTTGATAGCCGAAAAAAAAAACTCTGAATGATGATGACATATATCCGCCGCGACTTTCAGGACCATGGTTGGGTTAACTTGCTCTGGAATCTGGATCAAAGTCTTCATTGATGTTACTCAGTGGTTAATGTTGAGATCAAGTCACAAACATTGGCGGAAACTTTCTGATGTTGTCATCGTACGAGATTAATCTGCTGCTGACCTTACCTCACTGCCCACTTTTTCATGTGTCTATTTGCATCTTGCAGATATGAGAATGTGAACAATCTTAGGATACACTGAGTGGCCATCATGCACACTCGTGCGTTGCTAAAGCAAGTATATAACCTCTCTCACCCTAACAAGGTTTGTGGTTGTATGTGTGTCTCCTCTACAGGGAAGATCAGGAATACGAATTAAAAAATAATAATATTGGTAATAATACAGTTTTATTATCTGGACAGTGTTGTGTCCTGCCTGAACTTGTGGATGTTGGTACAGTGATGACAGTCACAGTCACGGCGATGTTAATGGTGCTGAAAACAATGACTCTTTGTCAAAAGTGATCATGTCAAACATGATGGGCCTGAAGGCTACGATGTACAGATGATGCATACGTTAATCTCCCAGTCATGGGCTGAGGGCAAGGCTTCGCTTTCTCTGATGAACCAGTCCTTTGTCGTTGAGGTAAAATAAGTTAAAAGTGGTTCGCTGGTTATATATTGACTTGAACTTAAACATGTTAAAAAGTGAGTTAAAAGTGAGTTAAAAAAAACTCAAATCATCTTTTATTAATTGATGCAAGTATTTATGTTTATTTATTTTTGTATTTGTTTTATATCTATTTATCTATTGTTTACTCACTCGGTGGCCATGTCTTTGGTATGACTCTTATATTAAGATGTAAAAACTGAAAACAGATTTTTTTTTACTCATTCTATATATCTGTATATACCAGAGTGGCGCTATACTAGGACATGTGTGTATGAGTGTGTGTGCTTTGGTTTGTATGTATTGTATGTACAGTATGTATGTAAGGATGTGCTATAAGTTTTTTTGATAATGCTGCTTAAACATCCTCTGAGTGAACGAGCAGAAAAATAAAACAGTGGTGAAAATATCTATGACGATGTTAAAAAAAGAACTCAAGCTGTGCTGATAACTGTAGATGGGAACAATACTGTAGTAAACATGGTTGAACAGCCGTCGAATAAACTCCCTGGGTGTGTCTGTGTCTTTTTTGATGGTACCAGAGGTAACTACTCATATGTATTTTACTTAATTGCAATGCTTAAACGTAATTGTACTTTACGTGAATACTTCCAATTTGTGAAATTTTTGAACACATTTTACATCAAATTCAGGCGCACTTTTAAAGTGATAGTTCAGGTTATTTGATGTGGGGTTGTGTGAGGTACTTATCAATAGTCAATGTATTACCTGCAGTAGATTTGGATCAGTACACTTCCAGTTTAGAGAAGCAGCCGGGGACATCTGCAAAAAATAGTTTTTTTTCCACTTTAAATGATATTTTAGCCGCTTTATCTCGCCATCAAACAACCCTTTCCTTTCGAACTACATTTTTTCAACCGTTAAACTACTGTATTCCTTCGCAGAAGTGCACCTATACTTAACTCTGTCTGACTGCAGAGTAATAATTGATCTAATCTACTGCAGGTAATACACAGACTATAG